ATATATATATATATATATATATATATTTGAAACTATTTTTGAAAATGTTATCATAAATTTTTCAAAAATAAGTTCTTTTTTTAAATAAAATATAGAAAATTACACATCCTATTTTAATAATAGAAGAACTATCAGTGGTGGAAGAGTTGTCATTTATGTGCGAAATAATCTTTTATCTCATGAGATTGATCCTTTCTATTTAGATAGTGAGCAAATTTGGTGCAAGGTTAGCATTGGTTCAAATACTATTTTAGTTGGTTTATTATACAGACACCCTCATGCTTCAAATGACCTAAACAAAATATTTAATGACTCAATTAGAGAAGCACATAGATTAGTCAATGGTAAAAATTTAACTAACTTATTAATAATGGGTGATCTAAACCACTCTGATATATTTTTGGATGATACAGGTGGTATGTGTCGCGGTAAAGGGTGAGTTTCAAGCCAAGAATTTTTAGAAACTATAAACGACTGTTTTTTAGTACAAGCAGTTTATAAACCTACTTTCAAGCGTAACTTGAATAATCTTGATATAATTTTAATTGATGATCCTGATCGTATATATGCAGTAGAAATAGGCCCCCATATCGGATCCACAGAGCAAAATCAGTTCCACAAGACATTGTTGTGGGAATATTGAGTTAAGGATCCTTTCTGTACAAAAAATAATCAAAGAAATGTATGAGATTACAAATGTGGTAATTATGAAGCTATAAGTGAAGCACTTAATGATATTAGTTGGCAAATGAACTTCTATGAAAAAGACGCTAACCAATGTTATAATATTTTCATTGACTATCTTGATAAACTAGTTGAGAAGTTTGTTCCCATAAGATCTCTTTCCACCCTCGACTCATTCAAATCAGTACCCAGATGGATGAATAAAGATATCAAAAAAACTTCAAGATATAAATTATGTATTTTCAAAAAGATGATTGCTGCATCTAAATTAAATTAAGGAAAGCTTAAAATTGAATTCAACAAACAATGTAAATTAGTGAAAAAATTAGTAAATAAAGCAGTTTTACAATATGAAGAAAGTACCTCAATGCATACAAAACAAAATCCTAAAATTTTATACTCTTATACCAACAAACAAACAAAAAAATAAAAACTGATATCAAGGCAGTATTTGATGCTGACAGGAAATAAATTACAGAGAAAAAAGATATCACTCATTGTTTAAACCAACAGTTCCATAAAGCTTTTACTCAGACCCACAACAGAACATGGCCAGACTTCAAACTAAAAACTCAAACTATATCTTATGCTAACAGTAAATCTCTACTTAGTAATACTCGAGTAGCCACTCTATTGTGCAGCTTAGACAAATCAAAACCGCCTGGAGTAGACCAGTTACATCCATTTGTTCTTTCAAAATATTATAAAAGCCTGAGTTTTCCATTATCTTATATATTTATTAAACCCTTTGAATAGGTATTGTTCCCTCCTTATGGAAAGATGCAAATATCTCACCTATTTTCAAGAAAGGATGTAAACTTGAACCAATAAACTACCGTCCAATCTTGTTGACTTCAATTGCAAGTAAGATCATGGAGAGATTAGTTAGAGAATATATGACAAAACACCTTACTAAACTTAAACTACTATCTATACACCAAAATGGATTTGTTGGTGTATAGATAGTAGTAAAACCATAATTTTATGGCTGTCCTAATCTTACTGGACTTTTCCAAAGCTTTTGACAGAGTAAGCCATGAACTACTTAACATAAAACTTAATGGCTATGGGTTTGATGTAAAATTAATTGCTTGGATTTCTGATTTTTTAAAAGGTAGATGACAGCGAGTAGTCTTGAGCCGTGTGTATTCTGATTGGGCAAATGTAATGAGTGGGGTACCACAAGGATCGGCTATTGGTCCACTACTGTTTTTGATTTATATAAATGACATGCCAGAAATAGTCAAGAATTTTTGTAAGCTCTTTGCAGATGATAGCCAGCTCGTCGCTACGATCAAAAACAATATGGATATCATATCAGCTCAAAATGACCTTGACGCCATTATAGACTGGTCCAAGCTATGGGAGATGTCCTTCAATATTGATAAATATAAAATTATGAAATTCAGTAAAAAACCAAGCAAAAATCTAGATAACTGTTACTTCACTATGAAAGAAAATATGGGAGCTGTTTTAAACCTTGAAACAACAACAATTGAGCAAAATCTTGGTGTAATTTTTAACAATAAACTAAAATGGAATTACCACATCAAACATGCAAAAAATAAAGCAAATATAATTTTAGGCATCCTTAAATGAACATTCAAATCTTGGACAGGGCCTATTTTTGTTAGATTGTTTACAACCTTTGTTCGACCTCATTTGAAATATTGTGCACCTATTTGGAATCCTTTTAAAAAAAAGACATAAGGGCTCTAGAAGCCGTCCAGAAAAGAGCAACTAAACTTGTTCCAGCAATAAGAAATTTGAATTACGAAGCCCGTCTAACTTATCTCAATCTACAATCTCTAGAACAAAGTAGGCAACAAGGGGATATGATACAATATTTTAAAGCATTCAAGGGGTTTAATGAAATAAATTCGTTTCATACCAATGCCATACCACATTCTCTTTTAGCACAAGGATCTGCAAGTAATGTTAGAGGCTCTAAATTAAGAATTTCGAGACAATTTACGAGAAACCAAGCTAGATATTACTTTTTTACAAACAGGATTCTTATGGAATAAGTTGTCAAATCAAGTTATCGATTCCAGAAGCATCGATGAGTTCAAAAATCGATATGACAAGTTCATTGTTGCCGAACAGGCATCTGCTAAAGTCTGCTAGACAGACTTCATGAGAAATTTTTTATTTATTTTTTCTCATTGTAGATTATTGTATTATATTGTATTATATAATATATTGAATATAAATATAGATTTATATATATATATATATATATATATATATATATATATATATATATATATATATATATATATATATATATATATATATATATGTATGTATGTATGTATGTATGTATGTATATATACAATTGGGTGTAAAAAAAAGCCAATTTTTTCTTGATTTGAAGTATAAACGCATAATGAAGCAAAACAAAAAAATCCTATAAGGTAATGAAAAATCTAGAACAGAAAAGGTATGTTTATATATATACTAAAATTTATACAAGTAAAATCTTTGAAAAAACAGATTAATATGGACATATTTAGTATTGTAGAAAACTACTTATGAATATAGAAATTAGATTAACTATTGAAGCTGCTAACCAATAAGTCTAATATTGGAAAACATTGTCAGATCTGGAAGAAAGCCTAAAACTTCATAAAATGAAGATTGTCACATTCTTTATGCCATCAAAAAAGTAAGTATAATCACATGTTCTGAAATAAAACAAAATTTAAACTTTACTAATATCTCAAAATGAACAATAAATTTTTTAAAACAGTGACTACATCTCTCAACAAGATAACATGGTTGAATAAAAGATATCTAGAATCTGAACTGATACCAATTATGTCTTAGCTAGCACAGTTTCCTGATTTAAATCCAAAAAATGTCTATATTGGATAGAAAACTGAATTACCATAGGGCAACAATATAAAAATATATTATATATTGTATATAATATATTTATATATTGCATATATATATATATATATATACATATATATTATACATATATATGTGTATACATATTTTATATATATACATATATGCTATATACATTTATATAATATATGTATATATATATAATACATATACATATATATATATATATATATATATATATATATATATATATATATATATATATATATACATATATCTTATACTGCTGAGTTAGGTGAGCATGATGATGTCAAATAGCCTGCTGCTGGGGGCTTCAGTACATACATTGACTGACAAATAGCCTGACTCACAGTGGAGTGCTGCTACATCGACTGAGGTTTTGGTATGGGTCAGCAACCTTTTCATTCATTATTCTTCGTTTTTCCTCACCATTTTCTAAAAACGCTCACTTAATTTAGGCTAGCAAATAAAGTGAGCAATTGTGCATATAAATATGCTATAGTAGATATGTATATATATATATATATATATACATATATATATATATATATATATATATATGTATATATATATATATATATATATATATATATATATATATATATATATATATATATATATATATATATACATATCTACTATAGCATTATAGTAGATATGTATTATATATACATATCTACTATACCATATCTACTATAGCAATTGCTCACTTTTTTTGCTAGCCTAAATTAATATATATATATATATATATATATATATATATATATATATATATATATATATATATATATATATATATATATATATATATACACATATATATCAAACAGACATAACACTTTATTTTTAAGAACATTAGTATCTAATAGAATACTTTATGGTAAATCAAAGGTTGCAAGATTTTCTTTAAACTATTCTTTGCTTTGTGCCAAATCATTGTGTTATTAATTATAACAAAAAATTGCTTTAAATTTTTTTTTTTTTTTTTTTTTTTTTTTTTTGCGTAAACTTTAGGGCATAATAATAATAATCAAAATTATTTTAAAATTTTCTCTTTTAATCAAAAATGTTTGTTTTGTTTTTTTTAATTTTAAAGAAAAATCAGAGAAAATATTTAGTAACTTGTAATAAAAAAAAATAAATTTTTATAGCAAGTTCATCTTGAGTTACAATAAATTCTTTAATAACATGTTGATCTCCAAAAACATGATACGTATTTTCCCTATTTATTTTTCTGTACATTTGTTGATTAACTTGAAAGTTAAATAAAGAAATTAGTAAAAAACAAAAAAAAAGAAAAATTCAAAACGATTTTTTATGTTACCCGCAAATTCAAAGTTACCTAAATCGTATGTAAACTAAATTTTAAAGCGCTTTATACTTTTATTCTTTTATTAATATATCATATAGATAAATAATTAGTATTGGATTTTATATATCTATGCAATCAACATACTGCAGAGATGCAAAGTCCAACTTATTTCGCGTGTAACTCACACCAGGGTTGCCAGGCTTTTTTCGGTCATCTTGATTCTCGCATACATCTGTTGCGCATATTTCATTTCCGGCCTTGACGACGATTGACTCAAAGATGTTCAAGTTTTTGCCACTCATTAAAAATGATTTCATTCGAATAACTTCATCCTATTTTGAATTTTCTGTATCTCTGTTTGCTTTTCACATATGTGACCTGTGATTTTCTGTATCTCTGTTTGCTTTTCACATATGTGACCCTCTCAACAAAACAGTTAGAAACAGGAACACATTGTCATGTAAAGCGGAAATGTCGTGCGAAGCGGTGTGTCTTAAAATTTTCATCATAGTCCCTCAAACCTGCCTATTATTTAACTGTGTTTTTAAGAATTTTTTTTTTCTTCAATTATTTCAGATTCAGTCTAATTGCTGACTTTTGTATTAATTTTCAACTTTTTGATTTTTTGGAAAATAGATTTGATTTTCAAGAGTCGATGAAAGTACCTACTGGAATACTTTAGAGCACTTAGTGCGGTGGGGTTTCAGATGCTCAAGGGACTGCAAAACTCATACTTATAAACAATTTCTTACAAATAGTCAGATGTTAAAATTGCTCAGTAACATTCTTGTAAAAAATGCTATGGGCACGATTTTTTATGTTACCCGCAAATTCAAAAAAAATAAGATACACATTGCAAGCTGAATATCTGGTTTTTGTTTGTTTGTTTTTTTACATCTCTAATTTTTACTCGACCCGGGAAATTCTTAGTTTTTTTTTTAATAAAAAAATTTTATTAAAAAAAGAACTTATTTTTGAAAAATTTACGATAACATTTTTCAAAAATAGTTTCAGCCTTAGCAAAGGCTGACATGCACCATGATCTACGTCTTCACAATTGTGCAGACGTAGATCAGTGTGGCTGAGGCAACAAAAAACCTTGTTCAAATAAATCCAGGGCTGGTTCAGATGTCTCAACCAAGCGTCGAAGCAAAAGGTCTCAGGCTCCACACCGGGTCTACCCTAATAAACGGCATTTATAAGGAAAGAGGCGCGAGCTTCATTGTTAAATGCTCTTCCATGGTGTTCTGCAATCCTTACGGTCGTAAAGACTTTTGGGAGTATCTTAATAACCTCAAAAACTTTTACACCCCAGTAAAACTTTTACACCCCAGTAAAAATCTCATATAAAACTTTTAATCTGATTATGAGAAGTTTACTTTCATTTTATGGCAAAAAGTATTTTTGCAAGTTTACAAACCGTTGTTTGTAAACCGCGGTCTTATCGTAGAGTACTTCCGCGGTGCTCTGTGACAAGACCGTAAGGACTTCTTGGGACACCTAAATAACAAAAAAAAATACTAGCGTAATATGGGATAAATTTACAAATGCAAAGTAACACTTTTTTAAGTTTCGTATATACACTCAGCGAAATTTCAATAGTTCCACTTACAATTTTTACATATAAATAAATTCACGAAGCATTTGCATTTTTTTTGTTTTTTTTGTTTTTTATTTTATTACAGGAATTATTAGGAATAAATAAATAAGCAAATAATATTTTAATAGAAAATAAATATTAATTTATTTTGTAAAACTTAAAAGTTAGAAATATTTTGAAAAAACAGGCGAAATTTCTATAGTTCCATCAAAGATAATCCTTTATAATTTTCGTTCTAGATGATAATTTTTTAATTAGTTTAATTTTTAATAATGTGTGCTACCACTAGTTAATTTGTTTTTAATAGTGTGTGCTGCACTAATTAATTCGGTTTTTCATACTTTTTATAAGATTTTCCAAACAAACCTTTAAAATACCGTTCCATGCTTGTTGGATAGAGGTTTCAAGTTCTTGTAATGTATTATACTGTCGAGAATTTCCATATATAGTTCGCGCCAATATTCCCCATAAATTTTCAATAGGGTTCAGGTCAGGTGAGCATGATGGCCAATCCAAAACATTTATACTTTTTTCCTGGAACCACTTTTTTACACTTTGTGCTATGTGAATCGCCGCATTATCTTGTTGGAAAATCCAGTTCTCAGTAGGTAAACCTTCACCAAACTCTATTGAAACATCTTTTAAAACATCTACGTAATTTCTTGCATTCATTTTTGTTGTAATAAAACATATTGGAATTTTGCCGTGAAAACAAAATGCGGACTACACCATAACAGTATCTCCTCCGAAGTTTCGACTCATAGCTGTGTTATCTTTTTTTTTTAAATCATGCCAATAATATTTAAAACCATCAGGCCCATCTTAGTTAAACTTTTTTTCGTCGAAAAAATCACATTTTCCCATTCTGCATCCCATGTTACGTGGTCCTTTGCAAAGTTAAATCTTGCACTTTTATGTTTTTTTATCAATGGTGGTTTGTGATCATTCTTTTCCATTGGAATTGTCCTGATTTTGACAAAATTTGTTGGACACGTCTTGTAGTCACAAGTAATTCAAGTTCATTCCTTATTTGCCTTGCTGTTGGTACTCTGGATGACGCCAAACGCAAAATGGAAGAATGTTGCTATATATACCAATATACCATTTTTAAAAACATTCTAGAAAATTTAGTTTCAATTGTTTCAGAAACACATAAAATTGTCATAAACGCCATTGTTTGCAATAGGTCTAATAAAGATTATTTTTGTGGGTAATTTTATAAATGCGTTCCGCATAAAATCTGCAGTAATTACATGGAACTGTTGATATTTCGCTGAGTGTATATATTCATATTGATTAATAAACCTTTAATCTGAAAAAAATTAAACATTTTGATTTTGGTACTTTGACAAACATTAACAAGCAATTTACTAAGCTTGAATAAGTGATTTGTTGACATGCTATTAAACTGTTAGCTTTCATGCTAAAAGCACGTTATTTAGCAACAATAATCAACAGGCAAACAGGTTTGTTATATTTTTATGTGTGTATTTATCTATCATAGAGCAATAGTATTAGGTTGTTTTTTTTTTGTTTGTTTTTTTGTTAGTTTTTATTAAGTAAACTAGATCAAGAAGTTCTGACAGTCTTATCACAGAGCACCAGGAAGTTTACGCATCCCTTCTTACCTGTATTTCATATTTGGCGTATTCTGATAATATGAATACGCTAATTTAATATTATTATTATTAGTCGAGTTACGTCATTTTCTAGGCTTTTCTATTTTAAAGTAGTTTCTAGGCTTTTCTATACGCGGTTTTTTTTTTAATTTTATTTACTAACAACGCGTATTACGGGTTGCTAACTGCTAGTTATATATGATGCATATATACTCTGACCACTACACAACGGCTGCGCATTAGTTAGAGCGTTGTACTCATAATCCAGGGGTTCCCAGTTTGAACCGCTCTCGAAGCACATAAACGTTGATGGTTAAGTTGGAAATGGAGAACATGCTCATTAAATGTTAAATTCTATATGCCAATGTTTTGTCGCAAAAGCATTAGAAACCAAATAAACATATAAAAAAAAGAATTCTATGTTCATTTGGTATAATAAGGCTATGCATTTAACTTGTATAATACATGTTCTATACATGTACATCTATACGTGTCCAATTACATGTTCTAAAATATGTGCTCTTTTTTTAAGATTCTATAAATAGCTATTTTAATATTTATAAAATGATCTTAAATACAGACTATATACCTTTAGAACAATTCCCAAAAGACTAAATTACGTTGCTTACATTTTATTTATATTTTCAATTTTCCAATTCACCTATAAATTTGTAATGCAAATTTAATATTTATTTCCTGAAATTAAATTTTGTTAGGAAATAATACAAATATTACAGCCCATTTCAAAATCAGTATCATAAATAAACATATTTTTTTTATTTTATAGAGAAAATTAGTTTGGTGTAAAAAAGAGTAACATCACATAATTAAGTCTGGGCAGTATGGTAAAAATGTTTCAAACGAGGATAATCCATTATTGCTACATAGGCATCAATTCAATAGCATAACATATAAAAAATAGATGTTTTTAGTTCGGAAAGGTAAATGACATAACCACCTAGGTTTCAGAATATGATAACTGCTAAAAATCAAAAAACAAGAAATTTCAACTTAAACTATCATTACAAAGTATCAATTCCAAAAGGTAACATGAAATAAGTTGGGAATAATTTGACGCAGCTCCTAGAAATAGATGTTTAAAAATATCTGATTGTACTAGTCGATTATTTCAGCAAATGGGTAGAAGATGAACCATATTTTGATAGAACAGTAAAATCTGTGGCATTATTCCTGAATAAACAAACACGGATGTTTTGAAATATAATTTAACGAACAAGGTCGAAAATTTGTTTATGAGCTGTCAAATGAACTTCACAAGAAAACTAGGTTTTATTAACGCATGACGAGCGCATACCACCCACAAACAAATGGTTTAGTAGAACGTCAAAATCAATCGATAAAACATTGATAAAGATGTTAGAAGTTGCTGCTCTTGAATGGCCATTTATCATTGATGATGTTTTGTTTTCAATGCAAATTAGAAAACACAAACCAACTTGATTTTAACTTTTTGCATTACCTTATCAAAGAGAACCTGTTCTGTCAATAAATATCATAGTATATATTATTAATACCATAGTATATATTAAATATCATAATAACAAAAGATCATAACTTAACTGATTATAATGATTAAATAAACTCTGATTTAAGATTGAAGACAACAAAAAAAACAAATATTGGATGTATTCACTAAAAGGAATGAGATAAAAAAACGCATTTTTGATGAAACTTACAAAAACATCCAGAGTCACAAACAAGGCAAAAACGTGACTATGACAAAAGACTCAATTCAAAGAATAGTTTTGCAAAATGATAAACGTGATGACAGAAAAAGTGTAGCATTCGTAAAGCTACTGATTGAACCATACACAGTAGCTTCAAGTTCAAATAACTGTATTTTAAAGAATGAAAAAAAAGTAACATTGAAAAAAATGTATGAATTTACAAGTTTGCCTTTTTTTTTAGGTCCCGAATTCACTGGGACTATAAAAAAAAACACTTATTTAAATTTTTATACATAATCCGTGGTTCCGTGATAAAAGCGTAACTTGGACAAATCATTTACATAACTTTGAAAATGAAATCTCAAGATATTCTGGCTGATTTTAACAAAAGACAAGTATAGGACTTTTAAGTTCTTTATTTCTCTTTTGTTCATTATCATAAAAATTATTTAAAAAAATCTTGGTGCATATACATATATATATATATATATATATATATATATATATATATATATATATATATATATATATATATATATATATATATATATATATATATATATATATATATATATATATATATATATGTATATATATATATATATATATATATATATATATATATATATATATATATATATATATATATATATATATATATATATATATATATATATATATATATATATATGTATATATATATATATATATATATATATATATATATATATATATATATATATATATATATATATATATTAGATTATAAAGAAAAAACCGAGTAAATTTATAAAATATCAACACTTAAGAGATTAAAACTTTTTATTAGCATCCAACAGAAGTAAAGCTTCTTTTAGTTTAAACTTTTTTTACTTTTTTGATCCAAAATAAAAAATAACACTCGCGTATTTTACTTGATTACCGTCTAACAACCTTATGTTTGCAACATGTTACCATTCTAATCACCAAGCTTTCATCTACTAGATGTTTTTTCATGCTTTTAATCTATGTTTTTAAATATATTTTACTTGCCCAACTAGCCCTACCCCAAAGATCAGATCCAACTAGCCCTACCTCAACCTTCTGACTTTTTTTTGGAGAATTTAACACATTATAGATTATAAAATTTTAAATTTAATAATAATAACTTTAAATCCAATCTTTTAGTTTATAGTTTATATATTTATTTTTCCTTCCAATAAAAAGTGCAATTATTTAGATAAAAAATAAATTTTATTTGTACTGCGTTGTATTTAAAATATAGAAAACATATAATTATTAGCATATATATATAAATTACTTTTGTTTGAATAATTTAGTACTTTTATTTGGTTATTTTCATGAAATTTTTAAATAAATCAAAAATGAGACTAGATATTTTTAAATATAAAATTAAATATATGTGCATTTCAAATTAAAAGTAAAGATTTTATAAAATTGTGAATATCATTACCTTTTTTGAATAACAGTTTGAAAATATGTTTAATCTTTTGAAACTTTTACAAATTTTTAGATAATAACAATAAAAACTAATATATAATAATTGTCAACAAAGAGAAAAAAAAAATTAAGTAACGTCATTAACCAACGAAGTTTTAGCCTTGGATCAATCTTTTTAAAAACCTTTAAATATAAAAATTTTAATGTTACATAAAAATCTAGATTTAGATAAGGTAGACAAGACATCAAAACTCAGTTGTTCAAATCATTCTTTGAGTATACAACTTTCTTTTTAATGCTATTTTACAACCAATGTATAAATTACTGACTAAATATAGAATATTGGATAAATTAATTTATATCTGATTAAGCAAGTTAATGCACACTTGAATTTCATAGTTTGTTAAAAATTAACTAAGGGATTGGAATAGTCAATAGTTCAAAATCAGTTGTTTGTTAATTTTTTTCAATAAACAACACATTTTTTACCATCTAAAACCACAGATGTGTGGTTTATCAAAGCAACAATAGCTTTGCAAAAGAGCTGCGAGCTGGTGTGCAGAAAGCGTAAAAACTTAGCAGAAATTTAATTTAACTTAATGTATTCGTCTTATCTTAAGTTTTTTTTAACTTTTATAGAAATTGGCAAAAACAATTTTTTTAAAGCTCTATTTTCACCTCAAAAAAAATTTATATAGTTATTGGCTGTGTTATATTGAGTAATTTCTAGTTTGATAAAATATTTTCTAAATTGATTATAATTAAAGTATAAAAAGTTGCAATGCATCTAATTATTTTTTTAGTTTTGCAGTTCGATTTATTTGTATGCATGAAGTTTATCTAAGACTTTAGTTTTGTATGGCCTCGTATATGCATTTGCAATTGAATTGCAAATACAATTTTTCTGTTAATAAACAAAGTTTTTAGTTATTTAAAAATCAGGTTGTTGGTCGAAACACATTTTGTTGAAAGAAATCTTTCTAGAAACATCTGGTGAAAAAAAAAAAACGTTTCTTATATTTATACTTGAAGGTATAGCTCTATAAGCTGCAACAAAAGAAAAAGCAGGTCTAATAAATATTCCAAAGCATACGTGTGAAAACTAAACAAGTGAAAACATCATATTGTTATTATGATTAAAAATGTCGCAACTGGTTACAATTCAAAAAAAAGTTTATGAAAAAATTATATAGTAAAATATCTTATATTAATTTTCTAACTCAATCACGTGATGAAGATCAAAGGTGACACTGAAGCTCATGCTGTGCACCACTTCTTGTTTTAAATTACTTGAAGAAGTATTTTGAGTTGGGTCAAAAATCTACTTAATTAAAAAATTATAACTATTAGTTATAAAAACATTGTAAATTATCGTAAACAATTATAGTAAAGGTAATAATTTGTAATAATTAGTGTAGTGTAACATAAGATTGGTTTCTAAAGCCTCACTATATATACATTGAAAATAAAAGACATTTTTTTAAGTCACTAAAAATTCAAAATTAAATTCAAATAAAATATTTTATAGTATTTTAAATATTGTTTTAAAATTAATATAAAAAGTTAATCGAACATTTAATACAATTATTAAACGTATGCCTTCGTTTGCTTTTTTTCTACATTTTTTTCTTTATTTATCTTGTTTTTCTACATTCTTCAACAAACCACAAATTTTGTTTAGCTCTCTAACATTTTTTTTACAGCATCTTGATTTACGAACTTAATGAATGTTAATTTTCTGGCTGCTCTGGTCGCCATATTTTTCGGGTTTTAACAACACCATTGCTGCATTGAGGCTTATTACTTTTCCATGACAGGGAATGACCTTTTAACCTTAAAGATTGGCCATTGCTATTTGCGTATTCTAAATGAAACAGAAACCAGTACGTAAAAATATGCTTGAAAAGTTAAAAAAATTAAAACCTAAACAAATTTCACCGAAGTGAACAACTTAATTTAGTTCGGCACAAATCCAAATGAGAAAATGCCTGGAACTTGCCATTGGTATTAATTAAAGTATTCAATAAAAAAGTTTCAAACTTAAATTCTTTACCAAAAATAATTATTAAAATTTTACACAAACTGTAAAAACTAGTACAACTTATATGTTCAAATATTATATCTTTAAATATTATATATGATAGAACATGGGGTGAGATGACAAACAGTTTAAAAATCTTTTTTTTTTTATAAAGCAGTTTGTAACGAAACATTTTTTCAGTTTGTTTATTTTATTTTTATGATTTATTACAAGCATGAGCTTTCAGCTTACAAGTAAAAAAATAAAAAAGAAAAAAGAAAAAGTTCATTATTTGTCATTTTGGTCAATTGGAAAATTTGATAACTTTCTGTGTGTTTTCTCTTACCACATTTATTAAACTTAAAAACTATTGACTATTTCAGCTTATATATCTCGTAATAAACTTGTTCTTTTTAAAAAACCACCTCTAAAATAGTGGTGAATAACTTGTTTGCAAAAGTGTCCCCACTAACCACTATGTTACAACAATTTTGTGTGCTCATTGGCACTACATATGTTAACAATATTTTGTTTAAATGTAAGAACAAACTTTGGCGTATAAAATCACATTAACAAGGTTTCGGAAAACCATATGAAATTTTTAGTTAAAAAACGTATATAGATATTCGTTTCCGTCTATTTTTTATTTTATTATTTATAGTAAAAGTCATCTTTTCCCATCCGCCATTTTGCACCTAGTTTTCTAATAAAATAATTTTTTTCAAAAATAAGATTAAAAAAATAAAACAAGATTACCTATGGAAGTGTTATATATCAATATTTTTTCCGGATTTTGATTTGTTGAAGAGCTGGAAACTCTTTTCTTTTCTTCATCGTCTTTAATTAAGTCAGCTAAAAATTGAATGTAAGAGATAGCCAGTTTCAACGTGTCTATTTTGGACAATCTTTTCTCGTATGGCAATGATGGAATATGAGTTCGAAGCCCTTCAAATGCTTCATTTAAACATTGCATCCGCCGACGCTCACGAAAGTTTGCTGCTGACCGAGTCCGCGCATATGCAGAGTCGTACTGCTTATGACTTGTTTTTTTATTATGTTTCAAAGTAGATTTGATTTGTTTACATGAAAAATAATGAACTCCTGGTTCATATTGATTGCTCTGGGAATTGTAGTTAATATTTTCATGCATCGCCATATTTATCATATAACAATTTATTCAGATGCTTTACGTTTACGAGAAACTGAAACCTGTTTAAAATTGATTTAAACTTAATTTTAGAAGCTGCTGACCAAATAAAATTAAACTAATTTATGGTAATTTCCAGAATGTGCTATAATCATCGAGTGTTATCTTGTAAATTTCAAACTTTATCCATTTTGACTTAATAAACTTTAAATAGAATTTTCACTGTTCATTTAATAACCTTCATTAAAAATTTATACAAAGCCTTTTAATGTCGCTTTTGATTTTCCGATGAGATACGCCATATTGTAATGGTTAGATACTTTGTTTGCAAAAATAAACAAATTTGTCTAGGAAAAGCAAATAAGGTTTCTTTGCTCAACGCATGTTGCCACAAAAGTAAAAAAGCTATGTTAAAAAAAGTTAAAAAAAGGTTGTTTTTTTTTTCAATTTTTGAAATAAATTTTAAACTGTATATTTTATCATATTTTAATATTTAATATATAAAATTAACAATGGTGATGAGCCTTAAAAAGAAATAGTGTTATGTACAAATAAATGAATGAAATTAGTGGTCTCAAGTAAAAACTGATGAAGAAATAGTTATTAATATACTATTTTATATTTTATATTTTAAATAGATATACTATTTTAGTTTTTCTTCAATTTAATAAAAAGTCGAAAATAAAACAAAATCAAAAAAATTTACTTAAAGGTTCAAAGTTTGAATCTATAATAAATATTAAAAAAGAAAATAAGGACTTTAAAAAAGATAAAAACTTTAAAACAAAAAAACTGATTAAAAAAAAAATGAATTTAATATCTTTTTATATAAAAACATTAAAGCTGATAGAAGAATTACAGATTGTCTGTTTCTTTTCTTTTTAAAATTTTTAATGTTTTAGTAAAACACCGTTTATGACGTCACGTGCATTTTTGATATAATTCGATATACTTTTTGGAATATATTTATATTTATAACAACACATTTCGTGTTCAATGCAAACTAAGCTTTCTTTTTTTTATTTATTTTTTTCACAAATGTGGGATTACTCAGCTTCTTGTAAGTCAATTTTTTGTGTGATTTATTTTGTCCACGTTTTGCATTTTTAATATTTTTAGTGTTTTTTGTTATTTTTTTTTTATTTGTAATATTTGACTTTTTTAAAGATGAATCTTTATCGTCTGATTCTTTGTCGTCGTCGTCATTCCCGTCATTATTATCATCATCGTCGTCATCGTCATCTTTTTCAACTTTTGATCTTGCCAGCTTATTTTGTTGGTCAACCTTTTCAGCTTCAATTTTCCATGGCATTTTTGGTAGTGGCCAAATGACCATTCCAGAAAGAGCCATTTCGTTACCTAAAAATGCATCATGGTAACCTAAAAGAAAAAAAAAATCAGCTTGTTGAAATAAATATTTTCTATTTTTTTAATCCTTTACTTCCAATCCTTCTCCAAGGATTTTATTTGTTTATATTTATTTATTTAATTAGGCAACAAAATACAAAACAAAAAAGTTGATAAAATCAATTGCAACGCTTGAAGTATTTTTACTTTTTATTACTTTATTTATTTAAAAGTAAACGAGTAAAAAGAGATTTTTACTCAGTTTCCCGAGCCTCTGATTTTTAAATACCTTTTTAAAACATGCAATGAAAAAATATTACTTATAGATAAATACTGTAAAAATAAGTTAAAACTAATGTTTTTTTACCTTTCTCTCCGTACTGTATACACTTTTTGTTATGTATCTCTCTAGTTAACGTCTATGTCAAATTATTTTTTTGACAATAATTAAAAGCGTTAGTATGCAATATTTAATTTTATACTATATTTGGTAATTATTTGAAACAATGGTTAACGTACATTATCAAGCAAGGCAAATAATGAAATAAGATAACTATTAGTGAGAAATGATGTGCAGTAATGGAGGAAATTAATTTCATTATTTTCATTTTTTATTGTCTCTCTCAAACCTTTCTCAACTATTTAACTCTGAAACACTTGTCTGGTCAAACAAGGCTGCTGCTCCAAGAAAGAAGTCAAGTGCAATACTACTAGGATCATGGTGTTGATTACTAATCGTATACGAAGCAAGCACTTTATGTTAACATTGTTGCTTACACCACTAACACTATTGTTAACATTGTTGCTTACACCACTAACACTATTGTTAATATTGTTGCTTACACCACTAACACTATTGTTAACATTGTTGCTTACACCACTCTTCATTGAATTGTGTATATATAGATAACTTACAGTTTACTGTTAAGTAGTGTGTAAAATCTTTTTGAAATATAACGACGCTTTAGCTTAGTAAACTACCCTCTTCGTACAGTAAGTTAGGTAACACAAACTTGGTCAATAATGGAAGTATGGTAGATGAGTGGATAAGGTGGGTGGTAATGGGAAGTAGAAGTATCTCTAGCGCCTCAAATGTTTCTAAATTATGCAAAATTTTAAGTATTTCAAAAAACTGAAATTTTGACATCATTTAGATTTTTTCAATTTGTATCTTAGTTATTATATTATTTATAATTGTTATTATTATTATTACTATTATTATTATTATTATTATTATTATTATATATATATATATATACATATACATATATATATATATATATATATATATATATATATATATATATATATATATATATATATATATATATATATATATATATATATATATATATATATATATATATATATAAATAGATATATGAAATAAAAATATTAATTGAAATTAGTAGAAGGAAGTTAATGACGAAATTTTCGTAAACAAACCTGCGTCGTGACGTTGGTAAGGATAGTAGTAGGTTTGCTGCTCTGGAGGAGGTTCTTGACAACCTCCACATCCGTAGCATAAATAATTTCTACAGTCACCGTTGCACTGTTCACACGTACTGTGTCGAGTACCAAAATATTTTTTTGCATTTATACCTTTATTCCAGATATTTGAACTTTCATCTGTAGGAGGCCACAATTTAACGGGCTCAGTACCTGACCAAGGCTGTGAAGCAATATAATTAGAGTACGGTTGATACGATGATGTTAAACTCAAATCTTGATGATTAGGGTAAGTTATTTGGTTTGTCGGATAAGCTGAAACAGGAGTCTGATACTGTATACTTTGTCTTTGAGTCACTGTATTTTTTCCAGGTAAATATTTTGCTGCATTTAATGAACGGACGTTAGCGGAATCTTGAATTTTCTTTGCCATTACTTCTTTCTGTTTTTGAAGATACAAACTTCTTTGAAAAGCAAGCTGTTGTTCGTAAATTTTTTGCTGTTCTATTTTTTGATTTTGTAATGCAAATTGCTGTTCGTTTAGAAAACCATTATATTGCGGATAAGAAACTGGCAACGACTTTCTCCAAAGTTGAAACCACTGATTGTATTGATATTCTGGTAAAGGGATTGCTGAACGAAGAAAAGGGTTTTGAGGTGTTTCTTGAGGTTGATAAATAAACGGTTGCCCTTTAAAAGTAATTTAATAAAACATCATTAATGATTTACTTAAAATATTACATATGTATATATATATATGTATATAAATATGTACATATATATATATATATATATATATATATATATATATATATATATATATATATATATATATATATATATATATATATATATATATATACATATATATATATAAAATGATTTAAGTATTTTCACTGATAAATTTATTTTTATATAAATAAAGATTTTTATTTATTTTAAGTTTTAAAGATGTTAATTATTTTAAGTTGTAAAGATTAATATAATCTAAAGCTATTTTTAAGTTATTTCCTTAATTAATACTAAAAATTTAACACTTATTTAATTTGAATCTAATTAGAAAATATCAGTTTTTTTAAAGAAAATATTACACACACACACACACACACACACACATACACACACACGCACGCACACACACATACATTTTTTATTCAACGCTCTAGCACGAATGACCTAATCAAAATATTGCTATCCGTTATTGTGTAATATGTAAACTGTTGTAAGTTTATACTAATTTGAAGTAAAGATTATTGTCCATAAAAAACGGTGATCTGGTAATATCTCATTTGTATATCTTGTTAAATGAAAGTACTTTTAATTTCTTTTAATAAAAATGTTGAAATTTTATCAAAATTTGTTTAGGCGTTTAAGAAATAAAGTTAAATGCCCATTCATCTTTAGGATGTTGATACCCAGAGCGAATCTTCTGGAGGATGATGATACCCAGAGCGAACTAAAATACAAAGAACTAAACTACCAAGAACTAAATATTGCTCTAAATTCCTTAAAATTAAATAAAACTCCAGGTATAGACAGTACCGGATCAAGGGGGCAAGGGGGGCTATAGCCCTGGGCCCCGCAAATTTAGGGGCCCTCAAAAATTTATAAGACTTTTTATTTTTTAGTCATTTTTAGGTTCTGGCCCATAAAAAGGCCTCCAAAAACAAAAAAGGCCCGGGCCCCAAGAAGTCTTAATCCGCCACTGGGTATAGATGATATCTGTAGTAGGGTAGTGGCAAATGTCTTTACAACGATAAAAATACTTATATTGAAGTTTTTAAGTCTTTGATTAAAACAGGAGTTGTGCCGGACAAATTAAAAGTAGCTAAAGTAGTACCGATATTTAAAACAGATGAATCATATTTAATTAATAATTATAGACCCATCTCTGTACTCCCTACCTTTTCTAAACTTCTCGAAAGAGTAATCTATAAAAGATTGTATGAGTATTTAATCCAAAATAAAATCCTAAATAAAAAGCAATTTGGTTTCCAAAAACAATATTCAACTGAACACGCAATCCTAGATCTAGTTAACAATATAAGTTATTCTTTTGATAAAAAACAGTATGTTCTAGGCATCTTTATAGACCTGTCAAAAGCGTTTGATACAGTAAATCATAATATCATACATAAAAAAATGGAAAGCTATGGAATAAAAAAAAAACATAAAAAAACATGTGGTTAAGGTGAAATTAACTTTTTTATTTCGCAGCCTTCAGTTACGGTGATTTTATCAAAAGCATTATTATTTCACATCAGTATGAATATACATAAGCTTTTTATCCATCCAACTCGAGTAAGTATGACTACCAATCAAAAGTAAGTATCACTACCAATCAAAAATCAAACTCATGAAAAAGTTTCTGATTATAAACTATAATAAATATTATTATGAACTACGAATAGAAATCAGGTATTAATTAGAAGAATAACTCATAGTAAAATCACATACAAGCACATAAAAAAACGTTTATCGACTAAAACGACTACGCTAAAATGCGTTTAAAAACGCAGGCATTATTAGCGCGGCACGCAAAACTATGTAATAAAATAAACAAACTTCTTTTTTATAACAACGTTTTCAAAAAGTAATTACCTTGTGATATACACATCAGTCCCCATATTAAGAAGTAAAACTCTTTAACTAAAAGACTATACATTTCTTTATCGCTAAACCATCTAAATTGAAAAGGCGTATGCGATCGGTAAAGCTAATGCTGAACAGCTCAAAAGAATCAAGGTGGGTTACTTCGGCACAACTTCAACTGGGAATTTACTTTGTGTTTTTTTTTTTACTTTGAAGTACCTTGCTGTTTAAATTATATAAGTTTCCAAACAGATAAAGACATGGAACTATATGGTGAATTAAAAGCTATGCTCGAGCTCGTAAACATTTGGCGTGATAACAAACTAATTCGATTGGTCAGTTTCATCTAACACCTTGCGGCGAAGAGAACGCATTTTAAAAAGGCGTTTATATTGCAGCTGAATGCTGAATTGAAAGTTGAATAAACAACTTTATTTCGAACGTTTCACTAGGCACTACTAGATATCAAATACTTTTAACTGAGTTTTAATTTTATTCTCAGACTTATCATAAAACAAGAAGTCAAACTAAGGTTTTGAATATTTAGCAAAATGCTACAAAAGAATTATTGCTATATGAACAAAAATAGAATTATTCAAAACGTCTATTTGTTAATGCACATAAATATTTTTTAAGGTGTTGCAATATTGTTAATTATCAATGTTTAGTAATGAAAACACAAAAATACAACTAACTACTGTTGTTTATGAATGTGTATTTTAAAAACTTACGGTTTTTGCTAAGTTGTAGACTTAAATCGGAGTGACCGTCACAAGTGTATTCTACATGTAAATACTTTTGCGCTTTAGCATCGCACAGTGATCTACCATATAAATCGGGTTCAGAGAATAAATCACAAGATTGTTGTCCGTCGCATAAATCTTTGACAACCCTTTCAGCGTCCTGAGTAGAGCATGAAGTTATGGAATCACGGCGAACTTTTTCATTGCAACTAGGTCCCTCTTGTTTTCCATAAACAGCCGATCGAATGTGCAATAGTTTTAAAGAGGGGCAAAAAATATTTGCTGTTTTTCCTGAACAAACAGTGGCGAACATTCTTTGAGAATCTAAGTTTGATAAACCTGGAAAATAATCAAAATTTTTCAAGAAGGTTTTAATCTTTTTTTTTTTGTTACAAATGTTTGTAAAAAAATGTTTGAAGAATATATATTAAAGATCGCAAATATCTTGTCAATAGATGCATATAAAAGTTTATTTGTTCTAAATTCATTAAAAATGTGTAGAGATTAAAAAGCGAAGAGTAATTTAAAACAACATAATATTGTACAATCAAAATAAATAACTGAAAATACTTTTTCATCTCGATTGTTAAAAAAATATCATCACTTTAACGAATAAAATTTTATTTCAAAACTAAAGTAAAAAAGAAATTCAATAAGTTTGTTCTACAGATGATAAAGTTAAGTTAACAACTTTGTTCAAACGATCAAATGTTTGACAGTTTAAACCAATTTATGCTCGACAAATTGGTTCGTTTAAAATATTTTAATTTTGCAAAGAATATATATTTTAATATTTTAATGTATATTTATTGCTTTGAAAATAAAAAATTTATTTATTTTTGTATTTAACCGTAAAGCATAAGATATTGTATACGATTAGCTCATAAACGTATTCTTCTTTAATACAGTTTCTGCTAAGAACTTTTTTTAGCAGTAATTTTTTAAAGCTAAAAGATCCTTTGTCAAGGCTGTTTTTACTTTATATGTTTTTTACTTAATATTTCTGTGAAAGAATAATTTCTTAATAATTTGTAAGAATAAAAAATATTTGCTATTATTTTTTTCATAAAATCTTTAACTTATTTTGAATTTTTAAAGCTCATTTCAGAATTTTCAATAGATTGAGCATAGTTAAAACTTTTAGACTAAGTTCACACTGTGACACGAATCGAACGCGATATACAAACTTTGGTATAATTACTTTTTATGCAAACTTTTGATATAAATAAAATTTTTTTTTTTTTTGGTTGCGACGCAAGCATTCAACTATGGATATGGTAACTTTTCAGTTACTAGGTGCACTCACTCTAGGTGAACACCTCAGTTTCAAAAATACCGTATTCGAATACCTATTTTTGAAGTACTTTCTTTTTCAACAATTGGAAGATTGCTTTGCAACAAATCTGTTACATCGCTAAACATTTTCAGTTTGTCAGAAAGATTTGATTTGCCTTGACATGTAAATGACACAAACAAATACTTATTCACTAACGGACAAGGATCATTGTAAAGACTGTCTTCTGCGTATAAGTCACATGACTGTTGACCCTGACAAGCTTCTCTGATAATTCTAGGAGCATCTCTAGAAAAGCATGTTGGAATTTGATCTCTTAGTTGCGAAACTGGATCTTGGCAATCATGACCACTCAGCTTTCCGTAGAAAGCATTATATATGTGAAGGAGCTGTATATTTGGGCATGCGATTGATCTCATTTGACCACGGCATACTGTCAGAGTATGAAAGTTGTTTTCTATAACAAAACAAAAAAAAAAATGCGTGAAACCTGGTATTTTATTCAACTTACTGGGTAATAAATCTATAAATAATTTTAATCAAATTTATGCTTAATAAAATCTTTAAATAATTTGTAAAATTATAAATGGTTAGTAAAATCCGAAAATAATTATTTAAACACACTACACGGTAAATCACACTACACGGTACTCAAACTTGTGTATTAACGCACACAGTTGTTAGTCATGAGAGATATTATAACATTCTGCATTAAAATCTAACCTTGCTTCGATGCCAGTGTTACTTCGTCAGAAATAATAAAAATATGATATAATATTGTAAATATTGCGTAGTTCATTTTGGTTTGTATTAATAAAAGATTATTATTTAATATAACTATTTAAACATTTAGTTAAATACAAATATATTTTCGTGACAACGCACATTGTTCTTTACTAGTTTTGTCGTTCAATTTCAATGCATACTATATTTTGTTATTTCATTTAATGGTAATTCCCTTTTTAAAAAAATGTATTTTAGATTTAACTTTAAAACAATTCGCTCAATATTGTTGCAACGGGTTGTTTGAAGGCGAAGGGAGGGGCAGTTTTTGCACGCCTCGATACACAACGATTTATCAGTCCACTGAGTGCTCAAGACATATTGTATCAAATTTATTGACCCAACATTATATTAATAAAAACTTTTTTACTAATTAGCTGACAAAGCTTAATTAAGTTTTAATTTGAAGGCGCTGAAAGAGATTGCACACCCAAACCCAACGTTAGCACGTAAAACAATATACCTGATATATATATATATATATATATATATATATATATATATATATATATATATATATATATATATATATATATATATATATATATATTATATATTTTATATATATATATATATATATATATATAAGATTTAAAAGCGCTGAAAGAAGATAGCGCAACCAAACCAAACCTTAGCACGTAATACCATACAACTAATATATATAAGATTCCTGATAAACTTTTAAGTTTTAAAGGATAGAATTTAAGTTTTCTTTACGAATTATAAAGTTAGATTTCTCTGTTAATATCTGTTACTTTGTTAATAAATTGGTCAAAACAGATATAACAAAAGTTAACTCAAAAACGAAGGAAGGTTTTTTTATTTTGTTTTTAAAACTAAAGAGAAAAGTATTTAGTAATCTAAACTGTATTAAAATTAAAAGAAAAAGCCGTGATATTTCATAATTAATATAAAAAAATCACAGCCCTGCGTATTTAAATCTAACTTTTTTAGTTGCTCGTTTTTTTTAAAAAAAGATTGTAAATTATAATTAGCGTTTAACAAAAGGTTTACTTTTGGAACGATCAAACAAGATACGCTTTAATGAATACGATTTAATTTTATTTTAGTTCAACAAACTTAAATTCAAACTGCCAAATAAACACTTATTCGGCGAGTTTCGCTAAAAAAAAAAAAATTATGAAAATGATAAGAAATCCGAATGTCTAAATTGACCCAATACGTTTAAATGGTTTTTCCAATTACGTTTTCATTTTAAGTATGCGTATTATATCAGACAATTTACAAACTTTGGGGGGAAAAAAATAAAATGTATTCTGAAGTTTTGCTTATTTTTTTCACAAAGTTGGCATTTTCACACGGTAAGTTTATCGTTTAATTAAAAATTGGAATTAACACATGCATTCACACTCACACATATACATACACACATACATACATACATACATACATACATACATACATACATACATACATACATACATACATACATACATACATACATACATACATACATACATACATACATACATACATACATACATACATACATACATACATACATACATACATACATACATACATACATACATACATACATACATACATACATACATACATACATACATACATACATATATACATACATAAATATAACCATACTAGGCGCTTCAACATTTTTTAAAAAAATGTAAAATGAAAATAAAACAAACTCCATAATCTTGAGCTAAACATGAACAGTTAAAAAATTACAAACTTATCGTTATATTATTATTTGTAAAAAACTTATTCAACTTTTAAACCACAAAGTTTAGGAATTTTTTTGTATGACTTTTGAGGTTTTTAGCGGTTTAACGTTTTTAAGAATCGCATCAACGTTACGTTCTTTTACAAAAGTAACAATAAACAAGACCGTTATTATTTAAAACCTAGAATTTAATACGAATAAAAACTATAGTAAATGAAATTTTAATGCATAGGAAACAACCTACATTTGATATAATAAATATGTGACAGTATTTTTTTTGTTTTAAATTTATTTAATGGTAATACAAAAAGGGTTTCCAAAACAATAAACTGATTTTAAAACTAAATTTTCGTCTTGAAAATTGCCGAGTTAAGTCTTGAAAATTGACAAGTGCTAAAAAAAAAAATTTTTTAACCTAACTTTTTGGTGGGAGGCATATTTTTTGTGTGATCAACGCTTACCATTCAAAAACATGCACACTATCAGGGTAACATGATGCTATAATTGATTTTTTTATTAAATTAAAAAAACACTAAATACCTTCAAAATTATTTGGGTTATAAAATGACCTTAATTTTTGAATCAAATTATCTCTGTAAATAAAAATCTTAAAAAAATATTTTTGCTACTGTTGATAAGCTGTGATTCTACTTTTTGAAATAAACAAAAAAAAAGTTATTGTATTTTAAGTGATCGAATGCACGATGGAAGAACATACACCTCAAACTTTTTTGTCGGCATAAAACCTCAGATCTTTTTTCTTTAGCCGTGTTTTATTGATTATCGATATTACGCGCTCAGATGTTGAAGTGCCTAACCATACATACATACATGCATACCATACATACATACATACATACATACATACATACATACATACATACATACATACATACATACATACATACATACATACATACATACATACATACATACATACATACATACATACATACATACATACATACATACATACATACATACATACATACATACATACATACATACATACATACATACATATTTATGTATTTTATATGTACATGCATGTGTGTATATGTATATATATATATATATGTGTGTGTGTGTGTGTGTGTGTGTGTGTGTGTGTGTGTGTGTGTGTGTGTGTGTGTGTGTGTGTGTGTGTGTGTGTGTGTGTAAATATGACTTTAATGTTGACATCGTGTAAAAGAGTGTATATTCTATAAAATCAAATAAACATCAAATAATACAAGTTTCCCTAATACAAATAATAATTAGAAACTTTTGCTGGATTGTGGTCAGAGGCTAACTATAAATTTAAGAACCCATCACAAAAATGTAATAGGGCCCTCCCCCCTAAAAATTTATATTTTATCTAAAATAAATATGTAATATTTTCCTTTTATATCTAGTTAATAAAACATAATCAAGTATATAAATAATATCATATTATGTTAGAGAAATATCCTAGAATCTTTTTTTAAATCCAAAAAGTTATAAAAAAGAACGAACATTGAAATTATGTTTGAGGAAAGCATAAATCAAAAGCTAACTTTACCTCACTTATGACAGAATTTTTATACTAGAGCCAGCCTTGAACCACGAGCCTCTTGCTTCAGAGCCAGAACTCTTACCCACGGCTGCTCAAATTACTAAAGGATTTTTCTATACTAGCAACTTTCACAGGTTTTGCCAGATTTGAAATTTTTTCCATTTCAGTAGGAAAGATCTATCACTTATAATATTCATAAAATAGTTTCCACTTAACTCATCAAAAAGTCTTTTATATTTGGGTTGCCTCTTAAACTTAAAAGTTGGTTTTATTTGCCACCAACTGCAAATTTAATTTAAATAAATCGTAATTTGATCAAATATCTTTTAACTTCAATTTCAGCTTACCTAATAACGTGCCCGCTTCGTTTAGATTTAAAGACTTTTTTTTTAGTTTTTGAAGCATAATTTATACTCGTTAATATGTGATGCAGAATTACGCAAATAAAAACAAATTCAAAATTTGTTATTTTGTCCTTAATTTTTAATTAATTTTAGAGCTTTAGTTTGTTTTTCTCTTTTCGAATTTTGAAAAAATATTTTGTTTTAATTATATTTAAATGCGTAACTTTCTGCTAAATTAGAACTAATGTTTGAAAACCACCTGCCCAGCTGGCATTTGGTCCTAAAAAGGATATTTTTTGAACGTTTAAAGACATCATTTTAGAACCATATGTCGGCAAAGTTGAATAGCTAGTTTCTTTTTAAAGTTTTGTTTTTACAAACTGCCCATTATCTGGATTAGTTTTGTCATTTAAAGGGGAAAATTGGTAACTTTGTATTTCATAAGTTTTAGCCACTTTTTAATCAAACCTTTTTGTTTCTACTTAAAGTGTTTTAACATTCTCCCGATATTTCTTCAAAGCAAAACTTACTATAGATGGCTTTTAAGACTGCTAATGTTTCCTCTTGTTTAAACTTTTCAAATGTTGCTGAGTTCGAGTTCTAACTTTTAGGTTCATTTCCTATACTTATCCTATCTCTTTGAGCATTTGCATTTAAGTAAATAAGTTCCGGAAGACAATCATATGTCAATTTTTTAGATGTTAATAATTTTATAGATGTTAATAATGTTAATATTTTTAAATTAGGATTTAGTTTAAAAACCACTCTAAAGCCATCTTTCCGAAATATTTTCTTTAATTTAAAGGATAGTTGTGGTAAAAACAAGTAACGATATAGTAAGAAGGTTAATAGAATTTGATTGAACTTAATTGTTTTTTGTAGACTATTTTTATTTCTATTTAGGTTAGCATATTTTCATTAAATATTTGTATTATAAAATTTATCTCACCTTGTAATTTTAAATTACTGCATATAGAAAAAACCCTGTAAACGTAATCTTAAAGTATGCATTTAAAGTTTTGAGATCATGATTTGATTGCGGTTTTTGAGTGAGGCAATTTTGAGGTGCTTTTTATTATGAGAAAGATCATAAATAATTATTTTGTTTACGAGCTTATGATACTGGTAAACACAATCCAGCAAAAATTTCTATTTTATTTAAGTTAATATTTTTATTATGTGAATTCGTATTATTTGATTTTTTCTTATATATATATATATATATATATATATATATATATATATATATATATATATATATATATATATATATATATATATATATATATATATATATATATATATTAGTTCTAAACTATGACTCTGTTACTGTTTGCGATGGTATGGCTAAACAAATACAATGTCCAGGAAAAGAAAATATACACGTATTACAAGGTTTTTATGGAAAATGGAGGAACCGTAACTGTAAAGGAGACGCTCCAGATCCACTAAACTACCCCACATGTCGCATACCAAGAGGTCGTGCAACGGCAATAGTAAAACAACTATGTCAAGGACAAAATACCTGTAAATTGATTTCTGATAAGTCAATTTACGGAAACCCATGTCCAAGAACAATACCATATTTGTATGTAACATTTTTTTGCATGGCGCCGGGACAAAAATTGTTTCATCAAAAAACATTGTTTAATGAAGAAGTAGTTACAGTACCTAGTCACGGGTTTGTAGTATCTGAAACAAGACATCACTTAGACGAAGATATAGCAGCCGAAGAGCAACGTAGTCAGGGAACTTTTCGTGAATCAATTCCTGCGGAAAATTCTTTTGAAAAATTGATGCCAAAGGTGGAGCCTCAAAAATTTGCTTCGATTGCTCGAAAAATAATGCAAAAACCAGAGCCATCAATAAATCGTGAAAGCATGCAAAAACCAGAAATCATTTCTGATACTGATGCCTGGGATAGATCAAAAATAACCGTATCAGAAAACAATGAAAATCTATTACCTAACGAAGTGGGAGAAGTTCATAGTGTTTTTCATGTGGCTCCCAACAGTATCAAAAACAATCAAGAATCGGATGAAGAAAAAGATAATCAAAACTTTCTAACAAAGTCGCAAATTAAAAATGTTGAAATAAACAACAAAAAACAAGAACCTTTAATAAATGAGGCAGCACCTCATTATCATAGTGAAAAAAGCTCCACAGATGTAACAATAGAATCTCATCATCAAAGTGAGAACGCATTAGATGATGTTGCTCATTTTCAACGCTCTGTATTTTCATTACCAAAGTTAAGAAATTTAGAAAGTAATAAACAAAAAAGTTTTATTTCACAAAATGACCCAAGTTTGCTTAAAAACCATAGCAATTTTAAAACAGACTCAGGTAATAAAATTTTAATTAAAATACTCAATTTTTTTTTTAAAACTATAATTTTATAATCATATGCTTAATACTAGTTAAAAGCTTTCGTGACGCAATGATATGTAATGGACAGTCAAAGTTGATTGCGTGTCTTCCTGAAGAAGTCATCAAAGTGCACCATGCTTTTTATGGTAAACGTAGTGGTGAAAGCTGTTTAGGACCTTTAGAATATAAGGACGAAGCCCCAACATGTTCAGCATTAGACGCAAGAACAAACGTTCAATCGTCGTGTGATGGAAAACAAACATGTTTACTGTTTGCTGACGATAATATTTATGGAAAATCACTGTGCCCTAATGTAAACAAATACTTGCATTTGCGTTATACTTGCAATGAAGGTGCAAAAGGTTTCTTATCCAAAAGTTTAAAATTAGTTCCACAAGTTGAAACAGAAGAAAACGCTGTTGTCAGGTCAATAAAATCTTATGGTAAGTTGAAACATTAAAAACCAGCAATATTTATCAGACCGCATTTATGCATAATATGTATCAACTTTTTAAAAATAAATTCAGCTGTTTCTAAGCTAGATAATTATTACTACAGAGGGGAGTTTAAACGTAAAACCTAGAATTATAAACCAAAAAGTAGAAAATGCCACTCTTAAGTGACATTTTCTACTTTTTGCTTTATGCTGGCGGGTATGGGAAGTTGATCTTTAATTACTGCTATAGATCTTCTTGTATTGAACTACTTGTAACACATTATTTTCTGACTACTTCCCCAGCAAACATTTTATAATGGAATTTCAATGGACCTATATAGGCATTTTGAGCGTATCCACAGTAGTTTTGCTTTTAGGTTAGTTAGTGGACCATTGCATTAGCATTAGCAGCCACCAAAAGTAACAGTGACTATCTATTATATGACATGCTAGAAAATTATAGGCTAGCCATTTATGGTGGATGCTACTAATGGTCCACTTAGTATTCGATGAGCAAAGCTCTAATAAACTGCTCAAAATGTTTATACAAAACCGCTTTAAATCCACTGAACAATGTTTGCTGAGTCTAATAGAATTTTGAAATTAAACGATATACAACACTCCATTAACTATAATATTACTTTTGTAATGTAAAAATACTGCGTATGTGCGATACACAGGATTTTGTACAATACATTTTTTATGTAACTTGTATTATAATTATTATAATTAGTTAATTATATTATAATTTAATTTATATGTAATTATCACGATTTTTATGCATAATAAAAACTAAGATTTAATTTAAAGAGTATTATAATAAATATTATATATATAAAAGCAAAATGTTTATTTATATTTTTAAATATATACATTTATATTTTTTATCATTTTTTATTTTGTGTAAAATAAAATGTAGATAATCACAACCAGACGATGAGTCTTTGCAATGGAGAGCGACGAGCTATAAAATGTGAAACAAATGACGGAATCAAAATTAATAGTGTTTTTTATGGCAAGAAAGTAGGTAAAGACTGTAAAGGGGATTTGAATTATAGAGATGATATTCCAGAATGCTCTAGTACACGTGCATTAGATATTATAAAGTTAACGTGCGAAAAGAAAAAAAAGTGCGAAGTAGAGAGCAATAGTGCAATGTTTGAAGATGACTTGTGTCCGGGCGTAAACAAATATTTAGAAGTTAAATACAGATGCTAAAAAAATCTCAAAGCTACGACAATTGGTTCTACGAATTCAAGCTAAAACTATGACAATAGACAACAAAGATATACACTACAAGTTTTTTTTTTATCTAGCACGATAACTACAAAACAAAATAAAGATAATTTAAGATTACTGTTTCAAGAACACGCATTTACTTTTTATACAAATTGTTTCCGTTTACTCGATTGTACAGATTTTATAGGAAGAAAAATTAGTTTTATTAACTATAAGGAGACAGCATACAAGCAAATATACATTTATTGCACTTTCAACACAAATCATTTTTGTTTGCTCGATTAAGAAAAATATTAGAAATTCACACGAAAAAGTTTTAATGACTTTGACTTCGATCAAGGATTCATGTCTATTGCTAAAAGACGCACACTAGTTAATTGCCCCAATTTAATATTATTTAAAGTTTATACAATGCTTCCATACAATTTAACAGTTTTATAGCTTATGCAATATTTTTTTATTATGCTGTATAATATGGTCTCTTGTTAAACGGTTTGTTGCCACAATTCTAAATGTACTTCATAAATATTTCAATCATAAGTGCATTATATGTACGTATTTTAAATAAAAAAATAACCTTTTTTATTACTTTGCATGTGTGTAAATTTTCTTAACCCTTTTAGTTGCCTTAATAATGATAATATATAAAAAATTATTCTGTTTTTAATTGTTTCCAAGTAAATAGAGTTGTACTTTTTTTTCTAAAAGTTGTTTTTGTGGTTTTTAGAGTTTTAATTATTTGTGCTTTTTTGTAAACAGTTCACGGACTGTAAAATACAATTGAACAAAATACCATAGAAAATAGAATTAGGTCTTTTTTATGTGATTTATACACAAAAAGTTTCTATAATGACTTTGCAAACTAATGTCTGTAAATGTTTACATTAGGGCAAGTTATATTTTTTTGATGAAGTATGAATTCTAATTAAAAAAATCAGAAGAATTTAAAGTTCATCAATATAAATCGAAAATAATGGTTTAATATGATGAACTTTAATTTAGAAATAATTTAAAGTAATAACAACATAAATTATAAATAACTAATTGAGTAATTTATATAGGTGACTAAATATCAAACATACAAAATTTAGTTCTTAGGCTTTTCATGTGTAACAATAAATATGAAAATGAGATGAAAATATTATTTTAACAAGCTGTTTTAGAGTTTACAAACCTATAAATATGTAAATTAATTCCAAGAAATGGCGTTTTATTATTTCCGATGTATGCAGTTTTTCCATCTCATCACATCATGTACAGTTTTTTTATTTCACCACACCACATACAGTTTTCGGATATCATCACATCACACCATTCATCCCATCTAATCAAAGTACATGCATTTTTACCATCTCATTACATCACATACAGTTTTCCATTACATTGGGTACAAAGACTCACTTCAAAACCAAGCCATATATGTAATAGTTTTGAAGTGTTGACAAATGAAAAATTAAACCTTCTTTAATTGTGTACATGTCGAGCTTTGATTATTGAACAATAGGATTTTTTCAAGGAATTTGATATCTAATGTTTGACTAAAATATTTTATTGGTTACTGGATTCATTCTCTATAAATGATGGCGGTAAAATGGCTGCATATGAATTTTTAGCTATGCATGTCAACTTCTTATATTGCAGAAACTTTATGAAAAAACGGATAAAAATATTTTTGAAATTTACACTTTAATAATTTGAAAAAAAAAAAAAAGTGTTTTTTCAAATAAATTTCTTAAATAACATTTAAAAAAAAAATTTAACTCAATTAGTGGATATCCGCTTTCTAATACCTTTTAACTTCTAATAATGTTTTTGCTCTTAAACACGTTTTTACATGCATAGTTTTGTTCTCTAGCACATAGTTCGGTTTTAGTAATAGAAATGACTGTTTTTGCATCCTAAGAATTATTTTAAGGTAAAAGGTGCGGTGCGCAGCATGGGACAGATATTTTTAGGCGGCATTTTTCTTTTTTAGTTTTAGTTGTAACTTCTTGTTTTATAAGTTTGCTATTTTAGTATTTTAAATTCGGCTATTTTACTGAAAACCTTTAGGATCATGACGAGAATATGAAAATTATCAAATTTCTTCATTAATAAACAATACAAGAAATATAGTAAAATGGGGTCAAATGGAATAGTTAAAGATTTCAATTATTTATTTTTAATGGAAAATTTTTTTTATTTTGGAATATTGAGAGTATTTAAATATATAAAAATCAAATAATTATTTTTTTAAGTTTTTTATCAAACTTTATTTAATTAAAAAAAAAATTATTCCATTCCACACTGACATTCCGGTAGAATGAAATATGCAAGTATATGCCTAATTAAAATAACACTTCATATAAAAAAACAAAAAGCAATCAATAGTAACAATTAAAAAAACAATCAATAATAGCAATTAAAAAATCAATCAAATAAATAAACTTTTTGGCACATCCATTTTTTTTAAGTCTACATGTTGGATAAAGAATATTTGTTGCAAAGCTGCTGCGAGTGATTGGGCTGATTGCAGTTATTTTTCAACTCTTTTTGAATTTCCTTTTGAATAGTCGGAGTCACTTCAACATTGAAGGTTGTTTACAAACAGAGCGGCTTTTGAGGTGACTTTAGAACTGATTCTATGTGACATATGCTGATGCTAGACATTGGTGTAGATTCAGAGGGCAGTGGCTGAGGTAGTGTAGTTCATGGTGCTAGTATTGGTGATGATACTATCACAGATTCTGGTTGTTAAAATGGTTTGGTTTGGTTTATTCATTCATGGTCAACAATAAATTTACAATTTTTTTTTTTGACAAAGAGCGGCACACCAGGCCTCTCTGCTATGAAAATACAGTTTTTCAATTTCAGCTTTTTATATATATATATATATATTTTTTTTTTTTTTTGTCAATAAACAATAATTTTACAATATTTTTTTTAAAAATTAAAAATTAAATCTTTATATTCTGACAGGAGCAAGTAGAAGACAATGCGTCTTATCACCCTGCTCCTAAGTTCGTGAAAATATCAAATAAGATTTACGTATTAAGTTCCTAAAATATACGTTATATAAGTTTTATACATATTACAAGTTTTGTACATACTATAACATATTACAGCTCATAAAATATATAAGATATAAGATGCATATATACGTGTTAACAAATCGATATATAAATGTTTTTAAAAATACAAAAGAATGTTTTTATTATTTAAATCTAATAAGTATCGTTTAACTGCTCTTTTAAATAGTTCAATTGAAGTCATGTTTTTCATGTCTCTATTAAGGAAATAGTCCCACAAACGTGGTCCTCGACATGTAATTGAGAAGTCTGTTTTTCTAAGGGATGTTGTAGGGATGAGAAAGTTGCCAATGGAATGTCTTGTAGAGTATTTATGATTAATTAAGGTAAAATGAGGTTGAAAATATGTTGGAAGCATGTTGTTATGAATTTTAAACATAAATAACAGATTTTGATAGATGTTTAGTTTATAAATATTTAAAACATTAATTTTTTTAAGTAAAGGCTCAGCGCATGCATATCTACCTGCATTTAAAATTAACCGGCTCGCTTGCTTTTGTTTGGTATTAATTTTTTTTAAAGAAGATGAATAATTACTTGCCCACACTATATTGCAATAACTAATGTGATTATGAATAAATGAAAAATACAAGCTTTTTAAGCACATTATATTCAAAAGGTGCTTTGTTTTGAAAAGGATCCCAAGAGCTTTTGAAATGCTGTTTTCCACTAATTGGATTTGATTTTTCCAGTTTAAATGATCGTCAAATGTTATACCTAGGATTTTCATTGAATGAACTACTTTAATGTTGTTTATAAATAAATCAGGAAGTTTTAGGGGTATGTTATCAGTTTTCGAAGGTTTCGTGAACAGAATGTATTTAGTTTTATCAATGTTTACGGACAGTTTATTGGCTTTAAACCATTCATTGAGATTAATTAGCTCTGTGTTAACAGTAGAAAAAAAAAATTTTAAATTAGACCCCGAAAAAAAAAAAAATAGTATCATCAGCAAAAAGAACAAAATTAAGGAATTTAGAAGATAAGTGGATGTCATTGATATATAAGAGAAACAGCAGAGTATTGAGCCCTGAGGGACACCGCAACAAATAACTTCTAACTGCGTACAAGTTAAATCGCACGTCACACATTGTTTACGATTTTGTAGATAAGACTCGATCCATTTTAGATTAGTATTTTGAATTCCAAAATTTTTTAATTTATAGGGAAAGATTTCGTGGTCGACAGTGTCGAATGCCTTCGATAAATCAACAAAAACTCCAAGTGTATAATTATTGTCATTAAATCCTTTCAAAATATTGCTAGCCAAATCCATTACAGCATGCTCAGTGCAATGATTTCTCCGAAATCCAAACTGTTTAGGATATAAATTGTTGTTTTTATCAATGAAGTTATATATTCTATTATATATAATACGTTCGAGAACCTTTGAAAAACAGGAGAGAATTGAGATGGATCTGTAGTTTGATTCTAAAGAATCGTCGCCGTTTTTATATATTGGAATTATTTTAGCAAGTTTTAATTGATCAAGAAGCTTTAGTGAAGATACCATAGCAGAGAAAGTTCGTGTTTAAAATTGTTCAAGTGTTTTGCGTCCACCGCATTTTGGGTTAAAGAAATTCATAATATTACAATACGGTTGGTGAAGAAGTTGCTTCTTTCAGCGCAGTTTCGGACAGGTGTGCTCTTAGTTCTTTAGTGTAATGACGCGGCCGAAAACTGTACTTTGAAGATTCCGTGTTAAGTTGAAATTGAGGGACGTGAAAGTTAACTTTATCAATTTTGGTCATGATTATATATTATTCGATAAGGTCTCCTTTTTCTCGCCGTTCAGTTAGTGTTGTTAGGTTAAGGCTTGATAGCCTTTGAGTATAAGAAAGGTGTTTAAAGAAGGCAATATGTTTTATGGCTCGGTGAACATGGATATATAAACATGGATATTAAGAACAATAACAATAAGTAATAGCGATATTAATAGAAGTAAAATAATGTTGATATTTATATTACATATAATCATACCAAAAGCAATAATAACAACCCACAATGAGCATAGCATTTTACGAAAGTTTTTGAAAGTGTATACGCTATTTGAGTTTTTATAAAGCCACTAGCAAAATTGTATATAAAATGACAGGTCAACACTTGAAGTTGTCTCATAAAGCTAATAACTTAGGTAAAGTTAAAGTATCAATTTACTCATTTAGAGTACTTACCTGACTGGGAAGTTAAGTCGGATTACGACCTAACCAAACCAGTTTGCATTGCACTCTCTTATATCTTGTGCAATTCTGTCCGATTACTCTATTATATGTGTATGTATGCAACATACATGTATGTTGCATACATACACATATATGACATATATATGTGTCATATATACTCATATATGCACATATGTGTGTGTTTTCTTTTAAGCAATTGCAAGTTTCCAAATACATGCAAAGTAAAGTAAGTTAAGAAAACAATACTTTTCAATTAGTAAATTTAGTATTATTAATTAATTTTATTTTAATTGATCTAAGTATAGAATTTTAATTTATTAACCTGGGTAAATAAATTTCCAG